GTGTGTGTGTGTGTGTGTGTGTGTGTGTGTGGAAGAAAACAAAACAATCATAAATGAAAAATGCAATTTTCAAAAATTCAATTAAATAAGAAATGTATGGTATTGTGATTAATTTGAGAAGGAATTTCACTTTCAATGTTTCGAATATATTACATTTTGTTATTTGAACAATGAACGATATTGGTAATGAATTGCGATTTTTAATATTTTATCCAAATTGGTTTTGGAATCAAAAAAAAAAATTCTAAGCACAATTTCACATTGAAAATGTGCGAACTATAAGAATCATGCTGAAAGTTTTATTTGCAGTTTCAATAACTGAATGCATTTCTTTTTTTTTTTTTCAAATGATTAATCTAAATGTATAACTTTGTAATTTTACTGCAATTGATTATCGAACGGTATTTTTGTAGATATTTTATAACAAATAAGCAACAAAAAAAACCAGAAAATAATTGAATATTAATTGATCTTTGCTTTTACTTTTTCTTTTCAAGGTTTTGTTTTTGTGATATTCATTTAAATTGAAGGAAAATGAAATGAAATTGATAAGGAAGAGGACAAATATTCTAAAAGTTTATTTGCTTGTTTGTTTGTTTTTTTTTGAGAATAATGTAATAATAATAATAATAGAAGAATATATAAAACGGTGAATGAGCGAGAAAGAGAAGACAGCTTTGATAAACATACTTGCGCTTTTATTAATTTTGGTTAAAAAAAAATAAGATTTTCTAATTTATGAATCATCATGAAATTATCGAATTTTCATATCATTGACTGTGCTGAGTTATTTCCAGAAAGTAATCACAATTTTATAAAAAAAAAATTCTTTGTTTATTTTCGGTCCAAAGCTATGCAATTATTCATTTTCAATGTTTGACTTCTTTTGGATTTCGATCTTCTACGAAGATTTACTTTATTCAAGAAAAAAAAAATGTAAACTATTGGAAATTTAATCCATATCGATAGATATAGCATTGTTGATAAATGTTAATCTGGAAAAATTTTTTGAAATTAATTACACACTAAACCATACCATATTAATCAACATTTTAGAAAAAGGGAGCAGTTTTGAGCTGAATATTAGATTAAATTGATTTTATGTTGTTGTGTAAAACATCTACAATCATAAATGCTCTTAATTAAAATTAGTTTAATTACAAATTTAAGATATATCCTCCTTTATGTAGCATGAAGAAAGATGAGATTAAATGTACATATTTATTTTTTCATGCATCACTTAACCTTATAAATTTTAGGTCGAACATGCTATTAATCTTACGATTAAATTACATACTCACAGTTGAATTAAATTCCACACTCATACTATCTCATCTATTTCGCATACTCTTTCAATCATTTATCCCAACATACATTTCAAACGACAATGTATTCTCTTCAAAATGTTCTTAATGTAACCATTTGAAATGAAATGATGCCCTGTGAAATAGTTGAGGTAATCCATTTTGGTTACCAAAATCTCCGGAACTATCACCGATTTCACACCACTTCCTATCATAACACACTATTTGAATGAATGAACTTTACATTGTTAATTCTCGGCCTTGAAATGGTCTATTTTTAACTGCAACATCATTTACCAAAAGGAAGGAGAAATTCTATTTGCGAATAAAAATTAATTTGTTTAACATTTAGCTATATATATATATATATATATAGATAGATAGATAGATAGCTAATAATGTCTAATATTCTCTCCTTGTTTGTTTTAGATCAGCAATTGACCATTTTATTGATGTTCATGCATGCTTCTTCCAAAATTTCATCAAAACGAAGAAGAAGGAAGAGAGTGAAGGAAGTGAGAGAAGAGAGGGAGAGAGAAAGAAAGAAAAGGAAAAAAGTTATATAATTGTCAAATGTTCAATTCAAGTTCTTATTCCCAAAAGATTGCTGTACTAAAATTCTTTTGTTTAAAGAAATTTTTTGCCAGTATTTAATTGTTGATCAATCCAAATATTGCACAATGTTTTAATATATCGACAAAGGAATTGCAAATAAAAATTTCCTTCTTAACTTTAAAAATTACAATTCAATCTTCCATCTATATATTTTTTCTAACTTCCTATATTTTTTCCTTGAAAAAAAAAACCAATTTTCTATACTAATAATAACCTTTAACACCAAAAAAAAAATTTTTTTCTTAACACATAATTTGTCACTACTGTTTGAAAAAACTAAACGGAATGCTGGACATTGAATAACATTTACATATTTTTAACTGAATAATAAATTTTTCATGGAAATAAATACATTCACGATGATAAAGAGAGGTGTATTGAAATATGATGATAATTATAATAGGAAGGAAAAGTATAGTTATCAAACATTTTTTTTTATCAATATTCAAATAATATCAGCTCCTATCTTTTCCTTTTCTTTCCTTGTTTTTTCTTTTTTATTTTTTAACTGATAGATTGACTAGCTTGAATCTTAATTTCTTTTTTTCTTCCACATTAACTGAATTTTTTTCATCCCTTTCCTTTTTTTGCTTCTCACCTCTCCTGCTCATAACTTTTTCCTCTTTCCTTCTCTTTTCCCCGATTCCTTTCCTTTCCTTTCCCGTTCCGCGATTAAAATATACCATTTAGCAGTGAATTTTTTTTTATTTTTCATTTTTCCTCCTTCTTCACCTCCTCCT